AAACTGCACGCTCTAAAAGGTCTCCACTTCAGCAACCCCGAGACCCGGAAATTGTTGGTTAACCCCGGCGTGACAGACCATGCCTCCACGTCCGGCAAGTTAAACACGCGCCGAAAATTAGCCAGTAACTCGGTGCTGCGAGCTGTGAGTTGAAGCCAGCGAGAGGGCACGTCCAACGACCAATCATACTGGGATTAGCACGCGCTCGGGTATGCAGTCAATTTGCCCATCTTCACGAAAGTTTCCCAGAATAAGTTCTGACTGGTGTGGAGCAACTGTGTCAGATTTAGCAAAGCTGAAGGTGATTAAATGGCGGTTCTTAACGATTACAAAACTAAGGATATCTGGTAAGGTCACTGACTTATGACATGCCGGAGCCAGGCTGTGGCTGTCAGCGGTGGCAATACTTAGGAAGTTCAGTCTGATGCGATAACGGGGATTCAGACGAAACCGTACAGTTCTGACATAGGTTCTTAACCGATTAGGCAATTAGATTAAACATTAGGACAAGTTTCATTGACTTTGGGTCAGGTATGAAGGTCATATCAATGCCGAACCAAGCTGTTATCAGTTGGAGTGCTTCCTTTATCATGTACTTTCTGACGCTCATTTCGAATTTCTTGATAGCAGGGACGGCAAGGCACATTTGCATTGGACTTCTTAAAGGTCATATGAGGTCACTGACCTAAAGTGACCAAGATCAACCTGTTGTTTTTAGGAACATACTTCCTAGCATAACCTTTAACTGTTTTCAAAATTCAAGCACCCGTAGTTTTTTCATCATCGTAACCGTATTAAGGTCAAATAAGGTCATTGACCTGAAATGGGCACCTGTGACCGTTTGCTTAGGACGGACATCTTGATTCAAGCCGGTTGCACGAGTCGGTCTTCGCTGACTTTGAACACCAATCTGCGGTCTGACCTTATTTGACTTCATTTGACCCCAAGTGTGTGACCTGCGAACCTCCGATGTGGCACATTTGAGTTTACATGCAGACCTGCCTTCGTGTGAATTTGGTGCTTTTAGCTCTCTTGATTTGATCGTGTCTCAGCGGGACAAACTGACTCCCTACCCCGCCCGGGCGCCTCGCATTGAACCGGCCACCCGGGGCTAGATAGGCGTAGCCTTCATCTCAGCTGTAACTTGACACAGAATGTTGACTACTTCAGCAAACCACCCCAACGTTTAGAGGGTAGTAGTAATGAACTGTCAGAAATGGCGCCTATAACTGAATTTTGATCAGCAGAAACGCGGGAAGTAAACGGCTGCTGCAGGGGGTTGTTGTAAGAGCTTGCTGGTTGTTGTTGTTAGATCTGTTGTTAAATCAACTGTTGTTAGATCAACGCCGTCCAACGCTCTCAAGTGCGCGTTTATTGATAATCTCTAAAGTTTTCTAAAAATCATACCTTAATTTTCTTTTAAATGTGCACAGTCATGTTCACTATAATGTGCAGAGAATGAGACACAATTTATCGGTAAATGACAACGCAAAGACGGCTGCAAGCTACAGACAAGTGGCATCATCTCTCCTGTAACATTGCACGATGGTTTTTGGTGCGGGGGGGGGGGGTGGGCATGCTGTGCTGCCCCGACCTACGTGACCTGTTTTCCACGTCGCTGAGTCCGCCCGCACTTATGCGGGCTGCGTTCCTGCCGCGCACGCACCTCAACGAAGCACACCCCAAACGGACGAAGGCCGCTGCCTAACCGCTGACCTTAACGCTGCACCAAACCAAACAGGAGCGGGTACCGCAGCGCACGCTGTCGGACGCCACGACGGCGCATTTTTGCGGATGGCGCATGACGGCCGGCGACGCGAACTTCTCTTTGGACGCATTTAACCAGCGCGGTACCAAGGTGTGGCAACATCGTCTCAATGACGCATGTAAAACCTATGCAGAGTAGCACTTGGTACAAAGTTGTTCGCTCTAGCATGATGAAGTTACGGGAGCAAACTCTGCTGTGGTGGAAAAGCCGAATCTCTTGTATAAGGTCAACCAAAACAAACCCAAGCTTAATGTAATCTAAGTGCGATTTGGGGCAGCATTAATTTTTATACCGACGAAGCCAATCAAGGTTATGCCTGATGCACATTTTTCAGCGTAAGCACCACGCACCCTTTCTCATTTGCGGCCGGTAAATTGGCTACGGTCCGTCAAATGGTGCACTTTTTGCAGTCGGGGCACGGAGAGATGGTTTTCGTGCATATAGTGTTTTCTCCTTGGCGGAGCAGCGCCTCCTTAAAAGAGAGGCGCTCGATAGCCCTCCCCCAGTCATTCGCACTTGAAATAGAAGCAACTCTAGGCAGCGTTTCGTAGCGCAAAACAAGGGTTCATAATATGGCCAATGACCTGTGTTATCACGCATAGCAGGAACCCTCGCATAGCAGTTTAGACCCGTTTGTTTGATGAGTTGCCGTTAGTAGAAAATAAACGTGCAAGGTAGTCAGTCCTTCCCACGTGTAGGCACTCAGTAATCCCCGTGATCGTTGCCAGATCAATGACGTAGCCGAGGTCATCCTCAGCCCTCCAGAAGACGATCTACTAAAAGTGAAAGTGACGGTAGAGCTAGATCCATGAAGATGAACAATCCCGTAGACGCGCCTCGCTCTCCGGCGTTGTGGCGACAACAGCCGGCCAGGCGGCCAGATAATCCTGGCTAACGGTGCGGTCCGAGCATACCACGGCGGCGGCTGCACGGCGGCCACTTCCCGGTCAGATTCGTCCGGACATTCGAGCCGGCCGGCCCCATTTGCACGTCAAGGTCTCACCTACTGCAAGACGCCATTCCGCTCAGATCCCGCGGCGATATCGGCGCTGCCTCCAATGACCGCCGATGTCAGCGACGACATGTTTGAAATGGGTTCAAGGATTGACGTGTAGTGCAGTGGGATTCAGCTTTCAGGAAAGATGGTGCAATCAGTCTGTTTAAAATGATAAGCACTGAAGTTAGGGCAACGAGCATTGATAAATCGGCGTAATCATCATTTTGTGATAGTAACGAAAATAATAAAGCGTATCCCGCACCACCAAAATGACACATATATTTGCACATACAAGTACAAAAGCATACAGACACACAAACATAGAGCAGGACAGCGGGCAAGGCACTCAGTACTTAATGCATTTTAGCAAATCAAAATCGGGGCGGGGCCAAATCAAAGCATAGAGGGCTTTTTAACCAATGGGCATCACTTCGTTGCTGTTGGGGCCTTTTTTATTCGGGGACCTCTTCAGGCTCAGGATTCTGTTTGTGTATGGTGAGGGTACGTTTCAAAAGCTTTAGAAGCCTTACATGCATCTACCAATACTACCAAAAAGTACTGAGCCTTTGGGCCCAGGGAGAGCCCACGTTCAGACATGGGACGGGAAGCATGGCCCCACCAGGCCGCTTTGACCACGCTGCTGCTTGTTTGCGCTGTTGGATCCAAGAGACGTTCAGCTTTAATATGCACATACACCTCCACAGGTCAAGGATCGTGTCATGTCACATATGTACACGTGTCAGGGATCTACACCAAACCGGTGAATGAAGCAGGACTTTGTCCTCCGTGCGCAGGGAGGTCCGAGGGCCACATGGGCCGCATGCCGCAACCCTCCAGACAGAAAAATGGCAACGGAAACAGATGTTTTCATCTTATGTTTAATTGTCACATTGCAATCCTTTTTCTATTTTACCGCGCCCATTATTCCGTATCGTTCTGGGATATTATTCGAAACTCTGTAGTTTTTTTAAGACGTTTGTCATCTGACACGCCACCGCTCACCTCAACGAAACCCTAAATGTTGTATTATATAAATATATTATATAAATACATAACGGGCGATCAGCTGAGCTGCTGCCATGGTATTCACCTCTGGTGTGAGAGGCGTAACTGTATCGTAAAGTCCTTCGAGGTGAGGTCGCAGATAAACCGCCGATATCAGCTATAACACCTAAGACTACTATACCGTAAAGAGGCGAAACTTAACGTGTAAAATATAAATCGCACAGAATTGAGCCAGCGCGTCATAACGCCGAGGCGAAATAAGCCATGATAGCAGACAAACGACAGAACTTGTACGGTTGAGAAAGGTGTTGAAGTTGAAGGATGAGCAAACTTGGTCACATATTCTTGGACGACCAGCGTGTGTCACGCCTTCGTGAGAAGTCGAGAAGTTCATGATAAGTTGGTTATTATTTGTTGTTGATATCCTTGGAGAGAAGTTTCGTCAGCCCGCTAGCAATCAACAGGTGGGAAGTCCACTGTGGAAGACCTCAGATGTTAAATATGCACCACCCTCTTACCAATCCCCACGTAACCTAACCTCATGATGGATCATGACAAAACCGTGTACCAAAGTGGAAAAAGTGGCTGGCTCGATGAAAACCAATACCAGCCAATTCTCCAGTAGCGTGATCGATGACCTAGCGTCCGAACACCAAATTTGTGAGCCCCTGCCTGCTACGCTTCCCAAAAGGGCACACTTTCAAGTGCATGATGCGAACGCATTTGCACGTTTTAAAAGGTGCTTGCTAACCTAGCAGATTGGGTCGAAGTGTCACGTCCGCGAATGGGCTTTGCAGACCCGTTCCTAGCGTCATCTGCGCAAGGCACAGGCCCGCCATCTACAGGTGTACTCTGCCTGCTGCCTCTGCGATTCGACCGTTCTTAGCCTCCGTGACGGGCAGAATTCGAGAAGTCGCAGGGCCCGACAACCAGTCTTCTCTTTGCCCCAAATGCATTACTTCTGCATAACTTCCAATCGAACTACCACCTCTGCAGGTCAACGCCCGTTTTCGCCAGTGTTAAAAGACTTGCATGCAGTAAAAGCCCTATGCAGCACCTCTGAACGCAGTCGAATTTGGTTAGACAAAATAGTGGCAATCGTAAGAGTGCTGGCCAGACGCGAGTAGCACATCTACTGTATCCCGCACGAACGACGCTCGCGATCCTCTTCCATCGGCCAAGTGGCATTCTGCACTCGCAATAGACAACCGTGACGTTAAAACATACACGTCTTAGATATGCTTTTATTACTTGAAACCCAAAACGTGAAAACTTCTGACCTGTTGTGACTTGTGATATGCAGCCGATTCACCCTCTTCAAACAAGCCAAACCCAAATCATGACAAACCAAATGATGATCCTTGGAACCAAAACGCGGATTTACATCGTGGAACAAATTTGTGGCGCTTAGTGATGATCAACGCTGCCAAAACGGTATCCATTGCGTGCAATCCAAAGCCATAAGATGATCAGCAGCCTTCCACAGGCACAATGGCATGCCATCAGGAGGGCACTGGCATTTTGTACGATATCCTGGCGGCGTTTTGCACTAGTTCCGTTCGAGGCCGACTTAAAGAGCGCCGGGTGACAGGCGCTGGCTCGCCGCGCTGCTCTTGCTACGCGCGCGCGCGCGCCGCAGCCGTCCGCGTGCGCCTCCGCGTGGGCTCCACACGCGCGCCACCGTCGGCGCCGTGTGCCGGCCGCGCCGGGCCGGGGTGCGGCGCGAGGGCCGCGCGGGCGCCGACCGCCGCTGGGACGTCAAGCTCTTCATGTTGCCGGGGCCGGCCGTCGGGCCGTCACCGCAGATTGGAGCGCTTCGGACCGAAGATGAGGTCGGCGTCGGGCACCCCCTTGGTGTGCTGGTATTTGGGCCGCCGTTCGCGGTTGGGATTCAGTGGCTTGACCGGCGCGCTGTTGTGCAGCTCCTGCATCTCCTCCTCCTCCTGGCGCTCGTTGATGTGCAGCGTCAGCTGCTTGACGCGCTCGCGTTCCTCGCGCTCCGCCTCCTCGTGGCTGCGCAGGCTGACGGCCAGGTCGCAATCCTCGGGCACGTCTAAGCTCTTGTGCTGCTGCTTGTTGCCGCGGCGCAGGAGCAGCAAGAAGGTGATGGTGTTGCGCGGAGGTCGCTCGGCGTCATCCTGCTCTTGGCGCAACTGGCCGTACGTCTTACGCACCGGGCCGCTGGTCGAGATGGGCGCCGAAAGCTCAAACTGCGGCTTCACCGACTCGCGGCTCCGCTCCATGATGCTGTCCGAGATCATCTTGTCGAAGGCCGAAAGGAAGTCGTCGTCCTCGGCGCAGGCGATGCGTTGCGGCGCTAGGTCGGCGGCGGCGTCGACAGCCGCGTCGCCATCTTCCACCTCGTCCGCCAGCTCGTCCGTCAGCTCGTCGTCGGGCTCGTCCTGCGTTCCGCGCGGCGCCACCGCCTCTTCCACGTCGGCGTCAGCGTCGGCGTCGGCGTCAACGTCAGCGTCGTCATCGTCTTCGTCGTCGTCGGGTGGCGTCAGCTGCTGTGACAGGCTCTCCTCCTCCGGCTCGTCGAAGTCGCCATCCTCGCCGCCGGGCCCGGCCGGCGCTGCCGGCGGCTCCTCAACTATGGCCGGTAGCTCGGCGTCACCGCCGCCGACGGCGCGCTCGCGCGCCGGCGGCGGCGGCGGCGCCAGCTCGGCCAGCCGCCGGCGCAGGTCGGCCTCCAGCCGCTCCACGGCGGCAGTCGCCTGCTCGCGGTCCCGGCAGAGCGCCAGCCGCGGCCGCAGCGCCGCCAGCGTGTCCCGGTACATGTACTCCAGCCGCACAGGGAACGGTTCGGCGCCGTCCGCGCCGGCCGCCAGCGCCGCCTCCGCCATCGCCTTGCGCGTCCAGAAGTAGCGCTGCAGGTACACGATGTACTGGTCTAGCTGACGCTTGGATGAGCCAGAGCTGAAATAGCGGCCGCACGTGTCGAGCACGACGCAGACGAGCCGCAGCCGCATCTCGCTGCCCGGTGGGTCCAGCGGCGACGGCGACTCTGGCTCCAGACTGACGCCGAACGAGATGAGCGAGAACAACACCTTGAAAACGACGGCCGTGTCCAGCAGGCGATAGTTGTACAGCTCGCCCAGGTAGCGCACCACGCTGATGCGCCGCTGGTTGAAGTGCACCTCATTCAACTCCATGCCCAGCCGGATGTCCTCGAGCGTGTTGTCCACCACGTGCGGTCCCACGTCCTCCTGATACTGGCTGAGCCCGGCCACCAGGCTGGCCAGGCAGCGGATGTGATAGTACTTGATCCGCCACACCGACGACAGGCAGCGGATGCAGTAGGCAGCCGTATCGGTGTCCGACCAGTCCAGCTTGCGCAGCTGGCGCAGTACCTTCTCGGTCGTGTTCTTGGCCAGGTCCTGGTAAATGAGTTTCCGCATGTAGTTGTGGAGCGGCGGCCGCTCCTTCCGCACGCTGAGCGCCGCCCCCTCCGGCGGCAGCACCGTGTAGTACATGTTGTCGATCATGGTCACGTAGCGGCTGTCGAACGCCATGGCCGCCTTCTTGCGCATCAGCTGCTCCAGGTAGACCTTGGTGCGGAGGTGCGTCTCGACGGTGCGGTAGAGAAAACGGCCGCAGCACTCCAACAGCGCGCACGCCATCTCCACGTGGTGGTGCGCGAAGTCGTTGAGCAGCATTCGCACGCACCACAGTGCCTCGTTGCGTCCGTACATGCCGAACTTGACCAGCTCACCGATGAAGCGCATCACCTTCAGCTTCGTCTCGATATTGATCTGGTCTTTCTTGCGCACGTGATACTTGAAGTCCGCCTTGAGCATCTGCGCCAGGTCGGAGGCCACGTCCGGCATGCAGGGGTGCAGCGTGGCCACCAAGCGCGCGTAGAAGGGCAGCAGGTCCAGCCGCGTGCGCGGCACGTTGAAGAGCACGCGCACCAGCTTCTTACGGTTGTTCTTGGTGTTGAGGCTCATGCAGAACTCGACGGCAGCCTGGTCGATAAGGCTGCGGCTGACGCGCGACGGCAGCGAGTTGAGGAAGGCGTCCAGCAACAGCTTGTTGGACGAGTTGACGGCGGTGTCTGGCTCCGGCTCCTCCTCGGGCTCGCGCAGATGCTCGTCGCTCACCTCGTCGGGCAGGTCGTCCATCTCCTCGGGCGGCGGCTCGGGCTCGTCGGTCGGCTCGGTCGCCTGCTGGCTGTCGCTGTAGAGGATGCTCGGGATGGAGGCGCGCAAGTCGTTGAGGTTGGTGTAGAAGCTGCGCTGGTCGTCGTCCTCCCAGATCAGCTGCTGGTCGCCCACCACGCCCTCCTGCGCGGCCGCTTCTAGCAGCTGCTGCTCGGCCCGCTGCTCGGCGTCCTCGGGCAGCTCGGGCAGTGGCTCGTCCACCAGCTCGGCCAATTGCTCAGTCGAGACCAGCAGCTTGCGGTAGCTGGCCTCGGCCTGCTGCTGCCGCTCCTGGCGTTCGGCCGACAGCTCGCCCTTGGTCTGCAGCGCGTGCCGGTTGGCTCGCTGCACACTGATGAGCGTCTGGTGCTCCTTCACCAGGTGCCGCGACACCGAAGCGTAGTAGTCCTTGAACAGCTGGCGCACGTTCTTCTGCTTCTCGGGTGGCAGCAAGCTGCTCTGCGGTAGCGCGCGGCCGTACTGCTCAGCCAGCTGGCGCACGCGACGCGGCGTCAGGCCGGCGTACTCGTCGCCAGAGTGCCGGCAGAAGCTGAGCAGCACGCTCACGTTGGCGTGGCCGGCCTTGTCCTGCGCCACCAGCACCTGCAGGGCCGAGCCCAGCAGCGGCAGCGCCTCCTTCCTCGGCAGCACGCACGCGGAGACCAGATCGGCGTAGAGCCGCAGGTCCACGCGCAGCTTGCTCGGGTTGGCCACCTTCTCGTCGCGCTTGAAGGTCAGCACCTTGTGCCAGATCTCCATCATGTGCGACGAGAACTCGGCGTAGCGCTGATGGAGCGCCGAGCACACCTCCACGGCGGCTGGCACGTCTGTCATCTTAAGCTTCACCTCAACCAGCGCCGACGCCACCTCGCTGATGTACTTGGTCAGGTTCAGGGCCAGCATCTCCTTGATCACACTGTCCTTCTGCGACTCGGTGAACGTCTTGAGCTTCCTGACGAACGCCGTGTTCTTCTTCAGGCTCGAGTCCAGTGCGGAAAACGACACCTCCTGCCGCTCCGTGGCCGCCGCCAGGTTGGCCTCCCTTAGCTCCGCCTTGGTGGCCATGCGCTCCTCCGTCTCTATAATGTAGCTGTTCAGGAACCCCTGCTCCTCCTGCTTCCGCTGCTCCTCGAGCTCCACCTCACGCCGCTCCTGCTCCTCCCTCTCACGCTGTGCCTTCTCCTCCTTCTGGCGCCTCTCCTCCTCCTCGCGGGCGTGCCGTTCCTCCTCCTCCTGTTTCTTGGCCAGCTCCTCGTCGGCGCGCCGGCGCGCCTCGGCGTCGGCCGCGTCACGCGCCTTGCTCGCCTTGCTGGCGGCATCGCCGGCGCGCTCGCGCGAGCCTCGCCGCCGGCCCTCGCCGCTGCTGGTGCTGTCGCTGTTGCGGACGCGCGCGGCCGGCGGCGCCCGCTCGGCTGGCGGCGCCGACAGTTCGCCGCGCCGCTCCTTCAGCCGCCGCTCGCGGCCCTCGCGCTCGCGCCGCCAGCTCTTGCCACGCGGCGTCGACGCTCCGGACTCCTCCATTGCTGTGGACAGCACATCAGCATGTATGATCTTGACATGCTAAACCAGGTCAATAGGGTAAAATTAGTGGATTTAAATATCTCCGTTTTAAGAATTGTGGGTTATGTCAATTCGGAAAGTAGCAAGCATCATCCTTGGCATGCAAAGTGATAGTCTGAAAGCAACTGATCAATGGGGATGGCCAGTGACAAGTCAGTTGAGCAAATGATGATTTGGGTTTTGGGATGTGCCTGGCACCTTGGTCATATGATTATAGTTGACTCAGGTCATTGGGTCAGGCCTGGCATAATCATCTCAAGAACCAGACATGAAACATTCACAAAATGAATCATGCTGGGTAGGTAGTGTTTGTCAAACTGAATGAAGCACTGGCCAGTGAGATATGTCCACAGTATGGACTCCATATCATGCCGTACCAAACAACCTATGATATGTCAAACCAAGTTGAGTAAGATTGCAACACATAAGCCATAAATGTGTATTCATACTGTGTGCCTGACTGAGCTTTGCCTCACATTACCTATGCAGTAGGATCACATTAAGTGGTGCATTACAAATCATCACCTGCTATTACATTGATATCACTTATAAAAAGAGTCAAGTGTTAGCTCACTTTACATCTTGGGTGTGCTAGCGCTGGAGCAAAAAATTATTGACCTTCATCCCCAGATTTCCACTGCGGAGGCATTATTTACAGTATATGTGGTACATAAGTACAGTCAGATGCACCCTAAACAGAGGGATGCATTTCAGAGTAAATGTGCCATTATTGGCTGCCATCTTGTATCTACACACAAAATAAAGCCAAAACAGCCTTAAGCATGTGGTTATCACTTATATACATAATAATATGAATCATCAATTTGTCAGGAAATTAGAAGAAATGTAGAAGAGGCTAAACAAACTCAGAAGCATAAGGCCACTTAAGAAAAGTGAGTAAAGTGAGTAAACCCTTCTAAAAAACCTTGAGGCCCATGAGATACTGTCATCCAGTAAAATTTGAATCTCGTTGCTTTGCCAATATGCTGGCTATGCAATTTAGGGCTAACAGGGTATAAACAGGGCAGTTTACTGCAAGCACAGGGCATACACAGGCAGGCTATTATTACATGCACAGGACAAAATACTGACGTTCTTGGTGGCCTTGGTATCAAACATGAACAGTAAAGCTGTGCACATGATGCTGGCAAAACATCAGCCATAAAAAACTAAAAAAGTCAACTGTGCCCATGATATAGAAAAAAACTTATCAACTTGATATATTTACAATGCAAGCCATATAGACCAGGGCAATGCACTACACAGCTGTAACCATGGATTTAACAGTAAGATTTAACTGAAAATATAGCAGTGATATAATCCTAACAAAAATGGATTACCCTGCTTCCCAAAATGCACTTTGGCTATCCTGTAACAAAGGTACTAATTTGGTCACACTAATCTGTTCAGATCCAGGTAGATCACATGGGCCCCACAATCTAATTTTCACTGCCAGCTCAAGTCAAAAGTGATAAAATTAACCAAATGCTTAATGCAAACCCAATCACTTTAAAAATGGTGCTTCATGCTGCACACTTACTAGAGAACAATATTTTGGTAACAGTAAAATGATGAATTTGACTACATTAAGGCAAAACAGGTGTGAGCAATTTTAATGTTAAGCTTTATCTTGAATGCCAGAAATAACAAAAAGGTCATAAGGAGTCTCTGAGAGTAGATTCATGGAAACATAGTGAGTCAGACGAGATCTCAAACATCGGAAATAAAGATGAAATATGGGTACCTACCAGCAACCCTCACTTGCTTACACTTGTCTCCAGGGTCCTAGGTGTCCACAAAGAACATGAGGGGCAGCCAGACAGGAAACATACTTTGTTTTGTCAACCCACCGCTCGCAACGTACTTCAGCAAGCCCTGACCCTGCCACGCAGTTTCCCACGGCAGAACCCACGCAATTTAGGAACACCGCGCACCTCCCTCTGCATTCGCGCTTCACGTGTCAACAACATACGGACACACGCAACCAAGGCCGACGTAACGTGGACTCCTCAAACACTGTCTTGAGATATATGACGTCACGTCACGAAAAACACATTTCATATAAAAAGCTCAGAATAACAGCGGTAGTATATTTCGTGCAAAACAGTCTCAGAAGACAAAGGTGACGGCAGGTGCAAATGACATACACGCGCTAAAGCACGCATCGGGTGTCTTAGAGCAAAAAAGTGTTCAGGGCAAGAAGACAGGCAGTGCCTTCACGTATGTTGTGACTGCTTGCTAAATGGTCAAAAACCATCACAACTATTTCAATTAAGAAACAGGCATGAAAAACTATGATTTTTCTACACGTGATCCGCATGCAGGGTGTATTCTGTCATCGAATGCATCTCCGGATATGCTGTCATCATCGACCTTTATGCCAGGCGTCAGTTTCCCAGTGCTTCTCAGTCTTCCCAGGAGCTCAATTTTGCGTTAGAAAAAACAGCACCAACGACAACACAAACAAATAATCCAAAGGTTCGCATTAGACCACACCGCGCGACCTTTTGTTAAATTGGGTCTTTTCCACTTAGGGAAACCCCCAACGGTTCCTGCGTTTGCTACATATGGCAGGTCAAGTGACCGACAGCTGCAGCCATCGCACTATGACCGCGAAGCCCGGCGCTGTCGGAAAGTTATTCACTAGCTCCCCGCACCTTTTCAGCTCATGTCAACGGAGCTACTACTGTTTGTCTCAAAATACAACGGAGATGTCGCTGAGGTTCGCGGTATGTCATAGGTACAAACAATTCGGTTCGATATATTTAAAAGCAAAGCATGTTGATATATATACTCGACGATCCATCATCGCAGGGCTGCACAAATCACACCGCAATCTCCGGCCAGTGGCAGCCATCCCAGCACCACGTACCACAGTATGGCAGCCCGTTTCACCGGCACGTAACTGATGTCGATACTTATCGGTTGGCAGATGCGTCGCCGCCAGTCCTGGCCAATCAGTTCACTGACGTCCCGCAGCGAGCACCAGCGCGCGGGAGCTCGGTGGTAATGGCACGGGGAAGATGCGCACGCCACTGCACAGCGCAAGACAAGTTCGTGCCCACAACCGGATTCAACTCATCTAACTTTCCGATTTAGATCTTCCGCGTCAGTCGGCAATTGCTGCGTTTCATGCACGTACGTCGCATACGCACAACACATAGCCGAAGATAATCACAGTACCTTGGTAGAAATTGGAACAGCACAGCTTCGTGCGAATGGTTCAGTACACTTGGCCCCTGTGTAATACCTCTGAATCAGTCGTCGCAATAGTGACAGCGTCGCGCCCGCCTGCGCCTCAAAAGCCGTGATCAGCCATGCGTGGTCTGGAGCCGAATATCTCTTTGGTTGCTTCAGCTCGCCACACGTATCACATTAGGCCGGCGGCGGACGCCGAGACTGGTGCCGGCGACTGACTCCGCGACGCCCTGCCGAACACCAGCCCGCACCAGCCGTCGCCGGCCGACACCAGCCATCACCAACCGTCGCCGGCCGCGGCCGGAGCACCGCCGCCGGACCTGCGCCCCTTCCCGGAAGCCTGTCTCGTCCCTGTGGGTGGCCGCCGCCCGTCCTGCTCAGCGGTCGGCCGGCGCCGACCCTACGCCGGCCTACGCTGACCCTGCACCGGCCTGCACCGGCCTGCACCGGTCTGCGCCGGCCTGCACCGGTCTGCGCCAGTCTGCGCCAGCCTGCACCGGTCTGCGCCAGTCTGCGCCGGTCTGCACCGGTCTGCGTCGACCCTGTGCTGACCCTGCACCGACCCTGCGCTGACCCTGCGCTGGCCTGCGCTGACACGGCGCCGGCCTGCGCTCCAGCCTGCAGCGTTCACCGGCGGCTCAGCTCCGCCTTGATGGCTGCGGACACGAGGAGCAGGTCAGAGCTGCGTGTCACAGTTGGTCTAGGCCTGCGGAGGGATGGCGGCGAAGGGAGCCGATCATCGCATCTGTTTCCGACGGGTCGGTCGGGTGGCGGAATACGGAGGACGTTGGCATGGCACGTCCACACGCTCGTCTCTAGGTGTTCAAAGCTACGAACGTAATATATTACTGTCCGTCATACATTCAGGCCGGCGGTGTTCAAAACTCCGGTGGGCCATGATAAGCACGCCAGGGAAATGTACGCTAGAAGACTAGCGCAAAAGCCTGACCATGGATTAAAAGCCTGATCCCGTGATGGCAGACCGATGCTGGGTCATTGACAATGAGTGACACGCGCGCGTGTGACATCCGTGTTGAACTGGCCGGCAGCGTTCAAAACAATCACTGCGCGGTCGACTCAACAAACGGAAAGTGCTTGAAGGCAAAGGAAGCGTGTGACACATAACGCCATACGTTATCCAGTGAGGACGCGCGGCTGGCACCGGCCAGGTCACAATCGTTCACAAAATAATCCTGATGTCAGTGCGACGTAAAAACAACTGATCACTATCTTTCATTATACCGGTGGCGTGTAGAAATAAAAACAAAGGTGAACTCGAGAGAAGCAGGTAGCCATACAGCATAGCGTCACTGATCCATTTCATATATTTCACCTGCAGATGATGCTTCAGTGAATTGAATAGCAAGTTTGAACGCGCGATGCATCTTTATGACATAATTTACAAAAACGTGTGTCATTGATAAAGCATGTTTCATAACGTTTACGCTTGTAACACAGCACACACGAAGATCAACCGCCAATCAGCTAATCGCATACTGCAACCAGGTATGGTTTGCGCTGTCACAGGTTATAGTTTAAACATTACAGTGCACACCATGTCTGACTGATTGTCCGTGGACCGGACAGTGGTGGCGGTTACCATTTTCGGATTGGTACTGTTGGGATATCACAGAAGACAGCGTATCGGATGGCGCGGCCACCTTTTCAACAACTGCCCATTCAGACCTCGGTCGAGGCTGAAGGCTATGACCTCGGCCTGCGCCCGTCCCACATTCACCGGTGTCCACGCATTTCCCAACCACCATCAATCGTGAGCTGTGGCCCAGCCCTTGAAGCGGGCAGTGCGGCGCCGACCCTTTCGCCTCTCACCGTTGATGATCTCGCTCTTCATGACGCCGATCTCGCGCCGCATCTCGCCGAGGATCTCCTGCTTGAGCAGCTCGATCTGCGCTGGCGTCGGCTCGGCGGAGGCCAGACCGTTCACGCGCAGCTCGTCCTGCGAGCCCGCCCGCTGCCGCAGCGGCCGCGGGCTGCCGCCGACGCCGCCGTCGCCGTTCGTCGGGCGCGGGGGCGTAGCCGCCACCGGTGCCGGCACGCGCCGCGGAGTGCTCACCTCCTCCTGCCACGCACAATGTCGTCATTATGCAGCCGCAGGACGGGGGCAGAAGCCAACAGCAATAGTCGGCGCTGCTAATGGAGATGTAAACTCCGGTATCATGCCACAAGCAGCTAGTGCTCAATTAGCACAGACAGCACTAAATCAGAGACCTGGGATGATCACTGTGCCGACTGTCCCTGAACACGCTGGCCTGTAGTAAATCCCACGCAAGCCTATGCTAAATCTAGTATGAGAAGGAGCCTAGCGCTGGCCCTGAGCGGCCAGCTGTACAATCAGCGGACGTCCACAGGACATACGCTCCCTGTCCCACGCCGTCCACGCCCGGACCAACCCACACCCCCGGGCCGCCGCCGGATCCGACCGGGGAGTACCGCGCGCGCGGGGAACCGGGCGAAGTCGGGCGGCTCACCTGCGGCGGCGCCGCGGCCGGCTCGTCGGCGCCCGGCGGCCGCCACTTGGCCTTGCGGCGCGCCAGCGTGGCGGCCATCTCGTCCATCATGGAGACGGCGGCACCGGAGGCAGCGGGCCGGCCGGCCGCCGCCGCGCCGCCCGACGGGCCGTCACCGCCGCCGGAGCCCTGCGGCCGGCGCTGGGTCAGAATGCGGCCGCCAACTCAGCCTGGGACGCCCACCGTCTTCAACATGCGTCATATATCCGGACGACAACCTGGCGTGGGCACGTCCCTGCACAACTAGAGAGAACAAATATGGAAAAGGTCCAAACCCGGCTAAAAAAACAAAACAAGAAAAGCTTACTACAACGAGCATTGAGACTAAGCTGCATCGACTCTACCATCCTCAAAGACGTGGTAGATTGAGCCTGTCACCACGTTCTTCGTCCCCCCAATGAGCACTCACCGCCGTCTTCTTCAGCCGCGTGCCCTGTATGGCGGCGGCCAGGCCGCTGAGACCCGCCGGCTCGGAGTGGTTGGGACGGAGCGTGGGAGGCGGTGGAGGTGGCGGCGGCGGCGCCCCGGCTGGAGCCGGAGGCGGCGGCGGCGGTGCCGGCGGTGCCTGTCCCGCCGCCGCCGCCGCCGCCGCCGTCGGGGCAGAGGACGTGCGGTGGTGACCGGGCGGCGCCGGCGGCGGGGGCGGCGGAGGGGGAGGCGGCGGGGCGGGCGCGGCCGGCACCGGTTGCGGCGCGGCCGGCGGCGCCGCTGCCAGCTGCAGTTGCTGCTGCTGGTGCTGCGAGTAGCGCCGCTCCGGCCCGGCCGGCGACTCGGCACGCGTCAGGCTCATGTAGCCGGCGGCGTCCACCTGGGCCGGCTCCGGCCGCGCCGCGCTGACGTAGCCGGCCGCCTCCGACGGCATCGACTCCTGGCGCACCATGCCCCTGTACACGGGCGGTTCCTCCTGCCTGCCGCCCCGGTAGTCGGACTGGCTCGGCTCCTGCCTGCCGCTCCTGTAGTCGGGATGCCCCGACTCCTGCCTCCCGGCCCTGTAGTCAGGCTGACTCGGCTCCTGCCTCCCGGCCCTGTAGTCAGGCTGACTCGGCTCCTGCCTCCCGGCCCTGTAGTCAGGCTGACTCGGCTCCTGGTACACAGCGACCGGAGCTGGCGCCGTCGAGGTGGCCGACAGCTGGCGCGCCAGGCCGCGCTGCTGGTCGAAGGCAGGCGGCGGCGGCAGCGGCGCAGAGCCCAGTGTCAGCACCTGTGAACGCCAGCAGGGGCTCACAGGGTGTGCGGTCGAGACGGCTGTCGCGACGGCACGATCGCTGACCATACCGCCACTGTACGAGGCAGACGGGGCGGCAGACATGGCGTCTCGCCATGAACATGCAGGACAGGCACAGGGGCAAGCTGTTTGAAAAGTTGGGCCGGATAACGACTCTTGGTATCGGTTAATCGAAACACATCAAATATTCATCACAACGCGGCTTATTACCTTTCACAAATTACACCACCTTCCAATCTGAAATGTTCAAAAATAGCCACATGAATATTGGCCGGGCATTCCAAACGAGACTGTCAGCATTTTACCTCGCAGTTTTAACCCACGTAACTGCTCACTGCGACCATGAAACATCACTTCGTGTGCACAGAAAAATAAATACAGAAAACGACGTCAAATGCAATACATTGCCAGCTGTACGCATGACTATAAAAATGAATGCATAAATGAAGCACTGCAAGAGGCTGACACACTCTCAAGGACAGCCCTATTTGTAACATTCAAGTAGTTATCGGCTTGCAAAATGCACACGGGCACTAGTCTCCACGACCTGTCGCGACCAAAACCAACACCGGATCGGGCTGACACAAACCTGCCTTCCACACACCATGCGACGGAAGCTCGCGCGGGTGCTCAACACTAAGCGGCGGCAAAGCAGGCGCATTTTCGAGACAAGCTCTATGACACTGCTGCTGTTTTCACACCACTGTTTGCTTTAAGCGTGATGATCCAGCATGATAACTCTTGGCCTGCTATTCCAACACGCTTCCACTCCGGGAAGCCTCTAACACGGAGACTGTCGTTTAACGACGGCTCAACGAGTATAAAGCTTGGTGTCTAATGATCGGGCGGAGGGAGAAAGGGAGGAAATGGGGTTGATCCCGGCGTTCTGAGCGTCGCAGAGTACTAAAGGCTTACTCACAGTCGTGTGCAGGTCCCTTTCAATCCCCTGCGACTGGCATGGGCTGCTTTTCACAAGACACGTGTATTATATTGAAGGGAGCGTTTCACCGTTAAGGACTGTCAGAAAATAATACAAGATCGGAAAGTGCACGCTAACTGGCATGGCCATCTTATTTATTTGTCAAAAAGCGCTGCGGGTGTGATTGTTGCCGATATATATATATATATATATATATATATATATATATCGAATTTGCCGATATATATCCACCGGTAGCATCGTAAATGGCATGGCGTTACACCCAAATGGTCCGCAGCAAGACCGTTGGCCGCTGGTGTCATTGCTGGGCATATGACAATCATTTTTTCTACGTGGTCCGGAAAGCAATAGATTGAAACGCAAAGTGCATGTGCGCTTGGGAATCGGAGAGTTGTATGCCTTAATTACGTTGCGGTTGTAAAATCTATTTGTGCCGTACAAACCAGCTGCCTCAGTTCCACATACCCATAAAACGTGAAATGCTCGAACTTAAGCCACTGAAATGTGCCTCCGCTGCGCGAACACTGTAAAGCATGAACCAGCCAAACTAGCGCAAGTCGCCGTAGAAGAAAATGAGCGCAAGGCCCTCAAGAATCATCAGCAAATAAGCGCTACTCGCATATTTCTTGGTAAGCACAGCCGGGCTCAGCCGAGCAGCGGGTGTTCCACAAGAGCGAATCCCAGTGGTGGAGCAGCACCGCCATGTGAAAACGAATGCACACACATCACCACATGCCAACCTTCAGTCTGGCCCACACGTCACAGGCGGACACGACCGACAGGTGTGGCAAGCCCAGGCCAAGTACAACCAATATCCTCGACGCAACTGCAAAGCACGTCCATCTCGATAGCATCGGGATAACTTTGACAAATCGAATGAGAGACGTCCAACGGCATGCATTGTCACGTTACACGCATTACCCGCTTGCCTAAGGGCGCCCCAATAGGCTCCATACATTCGCAATCTTTGAAATTGAGCCGCAACACACCTTCTTTCTCTCGTGTCCTTTAGTTGCAATGATAGCAGAGAGGCGTGATAACGACTTAGCTGGACACCACACAGCGCGGCAAACGTGCGACGCGTCACCTCAATGGCGCGCAGCATGGTCTGCGCAAAGAGCGCGGCGTCGTCGGCCGAGGAGAAGTTCAGGCCATACACCCGCTTGTTGTCACGCCACTGATGAAACGTCGGCGTCGCCTGGTTGTACTTGAGCCCCTTCAGCACCGCACAGTTGATGACCACCTGCGGGGCAGGCGCACTTTACTCCACACAGGTCGCTGAGGGTTTTACGGCAGCTGAGATGGGAGTGTCTAACGATGACACGGTACGCGCGGCACGTGCGTGACAAGTGGAACAAATCGGACCCTTAGCACGCGTGCTTACGTGATGCACATCTCACCTAGGCCACAGGTATTGTAAGGTGTACACCATTTAACATCATATATTGACATGAAACCCACGAAGGCCAAGATGTCCAGATTCAGAAAAAGCATCCAGGGCCCAAGGGACAGCTGGAGACATCATTGGTTCCTTTGAGGGGAATGTGGATGGCCCAACATGGACAATGCCTTACCATGTTGTGGCATAATGTCAGAATAGCAGTCATATTATGACAATGCATCATTCGGCGCCCTTTCTCATCTTGGACCCGTATTTGTTCAGTGGAGCAGTCCCGGTCTTTTCAGAACCATCAACAGGCAGTCCCCAGCTCCAACGCCCCAGAGCCGGCCCGGCGGTACTTCCGTCGAACGTTGGAGGGCGCGGCGTGGCATCGGTCGGCATATGGTGTTTTAGAACATGACTGCTAGTGACTTTGACTCTTTATGGCGGACACGGACATGCCGCTATCGACAACGTCCAATGGATTCCGTCAAATCGCCACCGAACGCGGCTAGCTTTCCAGCACCATCTCGCGGGAGGCAACAACAAAACAGAAAGGCTGGCCGCTCGCCCATCTGGCACCAGCTGAGGCTAAAGACCATCAGGCCAGCCGGCGCCCATCCCACGCCGAACACCGAATACACGGCAGCGCCTGGTCATGCAGCTTACGGCCCACCACCCGGAGCGCCTGCTCACCTCCTGGTCATGCAGCTCGCGGCCCACTACCCGGAGCGCCTGCTCACCTCCTGGTCATGCAGCTTGCGGCCCACCACCCGGTAGGTGTTGTTGACCATGTGCTGGTAGATGTGCACCTTGGACGGCCCGGAGGAGCTGCCCGACGGCACCCACTTCTTGTGCGCGTCGTCGTATATCATGACGTTCGCGCGAGCGGACGTTAGGCTCTGCTCACTGCAAACAACAAACATTGGCCACCTCAGGAGGCTCTCAGAGGTGCATCAGTAAGACTACAAGTGATAGGTCTGAGTCCAGTGGATGATAGTGTTTGCTAACAGATCACAAAAGCAATTACCAAATTCCATCACAGATCTCTTTATTATAACCAGCTACATTTGTTCTACAAAGCCTTGTCATGTATCTTCAACTAGCTCCATACCCCATCTCTGCAAATGTTTGCAGTTTCTGTGGGGTTGCTGACCAGCTACCGCGCTTGTGAGGCACGCCAGTTCCATACAGGAAGCAAAAATTGCATTGCAAAGCTTGGGCACAGGATCCTACACAAGTGGAGGGGCTGCCCCATCCAGTAACTTGACAGCCAGTCCTGACAATGAGACCCCCACAGGTTGTCCCTGAACTGAGATCACTGATAATATCATTAGCCTGCCTTGTACTTCAGCCTCCAACACTATCACTGGTCTCTCCTGGCCACAGACCTCCCACATCAACATCTCTTGGCATCTGGCCTTTCAAGCAACCATCAGTGTCTACTGAGTGCCAGCCTGTCCTGACGCTGCCCAACAGAACAGCCAGAAAAATAATAGTTTGCTTCTGCATTGTATGAACAGATAGATGCAAATGAGCAGGGGTGATCATTGCCTGGTTAAGGAAAGGGCAAGATGTTGTTTCACAACATCAAAAATGCTAGTAGGGATCTGTTGGTGAACTAACAGCATTGTACCACATGCTCATAATGCTAGTGATACAACTTGATAAGTTTAGTCAAGTTTAAGGAACATGCTCCTCATTGCTCATTTAGAAGTTACACATCCCTACATTTGTGGAATCCTTATGACATGGGCCAGTCTTCCTAAATGGACAAAGCCAGCATGTTGTGAACAATCATGCAAGGTCAGCCTATAAAGGCTCTGTTCTGGGTCTAACACTCGCCATTATTTTTATGAATGGCTACATCAGTGTGTAAAATGTAAGATTACATCAGCTCCTGATGACACCAAGCTGCATAGAGGTCCTGGTGAGATGGCCTGGAAACCATCCAATTCAGCCAGTCTAAAATGTAGCATGCTATCATAAATGGATACTTCTATAATGCAGAGCAGTATCTGGGTCAGGAAAACCCACAGTGCCAGTGCAGCATGCAAGGCAAGTCCTACAGCGATCTGGAGAAAAGACCAGGCTGTATTTGTGGATGAGGAAGTTATCTCACCAGGGCAAGTGGCAGAGGTTTCTCTACACAGCATTGCAAAAAAACAGTATTTACCTACATTTGTACAAATATACAGTTTATATGTTAAACTAGATTGTATTTTATTTGTCAGCTCAATGTGATCTTCTATTATCTATGGCACCTATTGCCTCTATCTCTATTTCTTTTAAACAAGTACTGAGGATTTTACTGTTTAATTATTTAAAACTTATTATGTCTTGCCTTGATGTACAAGCTGTTTTCTGCACAGTACTGACATGATGTGAGGCAATGGTGTGGTGGGGATATCCCTTAAATGGTTGGTATGCAATGTTATATGATAGTGTCATTACATGGAGCATATTGCATGATAAATGTGGGGAAACTTATGTAACACCATTCTGTCAGGTAGCTGCACAGAAAAAATAAAATAATTAGCATCACAACAATTAATATACACTATACTTTGCAAAGACTTCAGAAAGTTTTTACTTCAACACATTTCCATAACTGCACACAATCAATAAGTTCAGGGTATGCAGACCAAAACAAGCATGCTTTTTATGCAAAGCACGATCCGCGGGCACAATGACAGGAACTATACAGTAAAAACCACAAAACTGACTGTTCTCAACATAATTCCATTGACTTCAGTACAATATCGGCAGCGAGAAATTCCACACATTCTCTGTCAGATGACTCAGTAAAAACAAGCAACTACCGGGCAAAAGTATTTGTTTCAAAGATGTTCAAAATTACATGTTGATGACAATATTCCACTGGTCACAACAACGCGCCGACAAAAACAAGCTATACCTCATTGTTGCTGATGCAAGTAGCAATTTTTTCAGTCAGTTATATTGTAAAATCTTCAATTGCATAGCACAACCGTGCAAACGTCTTCACTCAGCCTCCATAACAACGACCAGCCCGCCTTCTCGACGTCCTTGCCCCGGAGTTTGAGAAGGCTATGGGGTGCGGCGATGGTCATACAAGCCATAATTGTACACATGAAGTGCTACCATATATACAGCAAGTGGCGTTTTTTGAGCTCGTCCAAATATTTGTCCCCTTTGGCTTTTTGCGCAGGGCTAACCGTCCGCTTCTTCGGCTTTATCAATTATCGCTGCTTCCGAATTCATTGGGGAAGGGGGAAGAAATGGCAGTGCGGTGACATCTCATAGCTGGGGCGGGGGTAAGCGTGCTAGCGTGCGTTTAGCGTGCTACTACCATGGCAGCACATGATGGAAATCTAAAGGAAATAAAACAGCTCGTAGGGTTGTTCATTGACATGGTTCTTGATACGCCTTATATAACTATAATATTAGGAAAGAACAGACTTGTGCAACATGCAGCATGGCATCAGTCCCAAACCTTCCTGACAAAACGCACTGGTGCGCCATGCTGCACTGACGGTTTGCAAAAACCCCTTACAGCATAACCGTTTGTACTGCAATGCAATGTAACTGCAAGCATTTCCTCTGGATAGCCAGTGTCATTAGCCTCCAAACAACGCCCCATTCGATGTGACATGTAATGTTTGGCCTTTTATATAACCTAGGAAGGTTAGCATACTGAGGCGAATATTTTGAACAGTATAATATGGCCGATAAAGGTATTGATAACGAGTGTCGCGCTTCATTGCGGTTATTTAGCAGAGCCTGCATACAATTGTCGTGCCTTTCTCCCTGATGTTCCGAAGCTAGGGTGTGTAAGGGGGGGGGGGGGGGTATGGTAGCTTGGTCAACTCGGGAGGTTCCCGTTGTTATGTTGTTGACTGGAGTTCGTCATATTGCGCCCGTGGGAATGTTATCTATTTAACGAGGCTGTTATATATATATATATATATATATATATATATATATATATATATATATATATATATATAACGGCCTGGTTAAATAAATAAAAATAAATAAATAAAATAATAAGTAAATAAATATATATATATATATATATATATATATATATATATATATATATATATATATATATATATATATATATATATATATGTATATATATATGCATATATATATGTATATATATATATGTGTATATATATATACATATACATCTAAATTTGACTTAAGCAAGTGATAAAAACAACTGGCCACCATCAAAAGTCACCACTGGCCACCACCACCACCGCCAACTGGCCATCATCACCAGCTGCAAAAATTTTAGAAGTAAGTTATTTCATTGCTAAATTGTTCTGACCCATGCATTGACTGCTCTGAACTCCCCGTGCGGAGGTGTGTGAGGAATCGATTACCAGGTGTCCTAAGGTGATGACATTATTTAACAGAGCGCGAGTCTGATTGCCCTTCTTATTGAAGAATTTTTTATGTTGGCTTCATAATGCCGAGCCAAAGGAAACCATTATTTTTAATAGCATCCTTGACCTTACCACCAGCTTGTTACACGAGCCCGGGGCTTGTCCCCTAACGCTAACAGAGGTAGACAGGAAAATGTGGAATAAAATGTTTCATATGTCGTGCCCAGAAAAAAAACAAACGCTAGCACGCGCTCGGGTCGAGAGATAACTTGACTTCCTCCCCCCCCCCCCCCTCCCTCTGAAGGTTTTTCCAGAATAACGTTTCTATGATCAGGTATAAATCTCAGACTGAGGTCAAAACATCCTGCTTTTCACTCGAAATTTTGCTGTATGGTGTAGTTTCTGGTGCTCATCTAGAATTTATGAATACCAATGACCGCAACAGACATCTTCCATGGATTTCCTATAGGTCAAAGTTGGTAGCTGACCTAAAAAGGCCCAGGCCAACATGCTCTATCGAGAGCATACCACCTAGCGTAACCCTTGATGCTCACTGAAATTCAAAATTAAAGCGTTCTCGTAGGATTTAGATCACCATGACATTCTAAAGACCAAAAAGCCACTGGCCTTGCATCAACACCAAAGGCCTTTTACTTATAGCAGGTATCTAGGTCCGAGGCAGTTGCATGAGGAGGTCTGGAGGTACTTTGGATGCCATGTTGGAGGTTGACCTTATTTGACCTTATTTGGCCAGAAAGTCACGAACTAAGAATCTCACATTTGGAAGCAGGTAAGTTCACACACGGGCCAACCCACTCTATGTATGCGGTGTCTCTGGCTCCATTAGTTTTCAGACCTCAGGAGGTCAAATTGACACCTTACCCGAGCGAAGGGCTTTCGACCGGCCACCCGGGCGAGTGTTAAGACTGCTGGAATTGTGCCGTGCCGTGCTGGCATGGTGTATGATATGAGCGTGATTTGGAACGTGTAGACACCTTGGTGTGTTGTGCTTGTATGTTGTGATGTTAATGTTACAAAGCCCCATAAGATCGGCACGTCTATTCAAATCAAACGCAAATAGCGCGAATACCAACCGAACATGGAATTACTCTTAATTAATGGCAGTCCAGGCGTCATCTCCCAATAGCACCCGAACAAAAAACTGGATCTGAGCCAGCAGCAAGACCAAGTGGCGACCTTGGGAGCGACAGGACGTCGTGGACCTGGAGGCGACTGGTCGGAATAAACGATGCCCATTTGTTCCCGGGGCAGGGGCGACGCAAGGCAGTGGCGCATAGGTTGAGGCGCAGAGAGGGGGTAGGTAGCCGTGCCCCTCTCATCTTATTGAGAACATTTAGCACCAGCCATGCGGCGATGCATGGAAGGAATCTATTTCAAAATTGACACCCTCGTTTTCTGAGTCGTTCTTACGCATGTGCGGTGTAGGACACATTCCTGACTCCATGCCACCTCCCGGCGTGGCCGGGCCGGCCTTCGTCCGTACCACAGGGGTCTGACCACGCCCGCGGCCACGCGCCGCGCCGCCGCTGTGGCGCGGTCGGCACTCCCAGCAGTGCGCGGTGGCTGTCTCCAGGTGTTGTCGCATTCGTGTTTTGCTCTGCCCTCGAGACGCCACATGCGACTGCACTTCGGGGACTCCTTTAAACCTTGCGTGTTTGTTTACACCTGGTTGTCAAACCAACGTTGCTAGTCCGATCTGACTGAAGTGTCAACAGACGGCCAACAAGCGATCAAAAGGTGCCGCCGCAGTGATGGGCGCCGCCTCACTGTTGCGCTCGCGCCACGGCCTGCTGCTGTGCCTGCTGCAGTTGGTGTTTATCGTGCTGTACGGCACGCTCGTCATCTACCACCCCGATGCGGACGAGGCGGCCGGCACGTACTCGGGCACGGAGACGGCGCACGACGCGGCACCGCACGCGCGGACCTATCCCAGTGAGTGGCTCCGAGACCGGACCAGCCGGAGCGGGGCTCGCGCCCGTGTGCCGCGCGCCGACGGAAGCTCGTGGCTGGGGGATGGGAGGCTTTGGGCTGAGGATGGGAATGTTCGGTAATGGCAATTGCTGCTCTCGCTTTGAAGGGGAAGAGGCCCGTCTTCATGAGGACTTTTGACCTGTGGAAAAGCGTAACCTGTGGAAACTATCTCTGGAAAAGTCGAATTAAGTTGACTGGCGCTTAAACCCAGATTGTTTACTGCTTCCGGGTGTTTTGAGTTCGTGTATTCTGAATCAATGGAGGCAATTGATATGCAATTTCTAGTGCAAGCTTGGCTGTCAAAGTTTTGTTTTATTGTAGTGGATACTGCAACCCTGCAGTCCATCACTTGCTCGGTCGCTTAAAGGGTATGGGCCTCCCCAAAGTTTTTTTTTAGCTTATTTTTCCAGACGGAAACAAAAGCTGTGATTCCAAAACGAGGCTGTCGACCTAAGCAAATCGTGAACATCTCTGATGTTGCCAATGTTGCGCCTTGTCTTTGGAAATAATGCCCGGGACTATAGGGGAGGAGAAATGGAACTTCTCTATCATCCCTCTCAGGTCATCTTTACAGCAAAGGATTTGAAAACTCTTGCTAAGCTGGATATTGAACCCAGACCCCTTCAAACGTGCATTTAAGGTGTTTATCCACATCGGCTTGCAAGCTCCTTCCATTTCCCATGAGAACATACTGAGTTTCAATGGGATGCATAGCTACCATTGAACAAGCGTCCAGGAGCTGGCTGCGCCAACAGCCGACAAAAAGCACGGCGAGCTGCGGCGAGCAATCCTGTCAGTGCGGGCCCAGCCCCGCAGGACTGCTCGATCCTGTCAGTGGGCGCTCAGCCCCACCGGACTGCTCGATCCTGTCAGTGAGGGCTCAGCCCCGCCGGACTGCTCGATCCTGTCAGTGGGGGCTCAGCCCCGCAGGACTGCTCGATCCTGTCAGTGTGGCTCAGCCCCGCAGGACTGCCCGATCCTGTCAGTGGGGGCTCAGCCCCGCAGGACTGCTCGATCCTGTCAGTGGGGGCTCAGCCCCGCAGGACTGTTCGATCCTGTCAGTGGGGGCCCAGCCCCGCCGGACTGCAGAGCGTCGCAGCATCTGTCGGTTAGCTGGGCTTCTGCTGGCCGTTGGCCAACGATCTTAGCGAACATCGCGGCACACACTGAAGCACCGATCACATCGCGGTGCTGCCCCGCTGACAAAAAGTGTGTGGCGTAGCTGCATAAATATGCCGTGCAAAGGCAAAACCCTATGTGCTCATTCTTGGCCATTTTGGATGCTCAAGGTCACTTCATTCGTCTTCTCAAGCTCAATTCAGTTATTTGAACCAGAAGTTGAAATTTTCATAAACTTTTAGCGCGCAAAATGGTCAAAAATAAACATATATCGTTTGACCTTTGGATGGCGTAATTTATGCCAGAAGTTTGTGCGCTGCGCGGTGTTTCAACGACATAGTTTTCCCAGTCACGTGATTGCATCTGTTGGCTCTGTTCTGCAGAACGTCACATCGCAATTGTGAATTTGCTTAACATCGAGCTCCATCTCAGTTCCCCAATGCCGCTGCATACAGTGTGCGATGGACGATGCCCGCCTATTCTGGGGATGAGGCGCTCCATCCGGTACAGCACCCCTGTTTGGATATCTGGTAGAGTTTTTGTCGAAATGTCCGGTGGTTTTTACGTTTGCTTGTCTGCGTTCTGTCAAGCAGATGCAGAGCAGATGCATTATCCCGATTCAGGGATAATCCCGAGTCAGCTTCTCCGCGCGTGGTTTTTGGTCTCAACGCCGCCATCGACTCTGGTATGCTGGCGGTGGCGCCAGTCGCCATCACATCCAATCTCCGTCTCGGGGCGTCCATGACAGAGTGTCGCGACTTCCGTCTAGAGCCTGACTAGATTGGTATGCGGGGACAAGTCAGCGCGACCGAGACAGTAGATATATCAGATAAGCCCATGTGGGACCGCAGATTTGACAAACTTGTTCGGATCCCTCGGAAACAAGCCCAATTACGTCAGGACATTCAACAGCGAAGCACCGCTGGGCAATTCAGAGCAAAATACCACTGGGCAATAAACGGCCAAATACCGTTGGGCAATATAAACCAAAACACGCAATAAACAGCAGAACACCACCTGCTGAAAACTACGACCTGCTTGTGACGCCGTGGTTGGATGTGCGCCAATCGTTACAGTTAGCACCACTACTGGCAGGTACGCGGTGCTGCGTGGTGAATGCAGTGGACATGGTGCTCGGGTGCAGACGCCCTCTCCGGCCCCGCTAACTGGATCAACGTGCATCCAACTGGGCGGCAACTCTTGTTTGAGTCTTTTTAAGACTCATGTGGCTTGCTTACGTTTCGCCAAAACTAGTTGGCACTGTATGTCGTATGGCGTGCTGTGAAAATCTATTCAGTCCGCAGCCTTTGGGACTTTGGGACTTTGGGGGATCGAGGCTTCATTTATCTATGGCAAATTTGGTTTAGCCATCTGTTTCGACCATACCAAACCGTATCCAACCAGATTAGAGTCCAGGGACCTTGAATGCGTGGTTAGATCTCGGCCCTCTGACGTCACCACCTCGTTCAATCTGGCACAAACATCTGCAGAAGGTAATGCACCAGGACACGGGAAGACCTTGTCCCACCTGGGCACCCGGTATTGAGCTCTATTTGCGTATCTGATTTTCGTCACCGCTGAGCACGTAAATACCTCCTATGTTGAGTGAGATCGCAGACGTGTGGTGTGCGAATAGCAAACAGTGCTTGAAGCTGATGAGTGATAAAGACTGGCATCGGTAGGCTGGTGACGCGTCTCTTAATGCGGCCCCCTGATCTGATGGAGTGCCAGTCGGTGGAGCGATCCTTTGCTTTTTGCTTTATGGATCGCCATGCTGAGAACAAGACAGGGGCAGAGTTTTTGTCAAATGCCTCCACTTTTTCGTGTCGGAGAGGCTGCTGATGCTAAATAGCGGTAATCTTAGACAATAATTAACGACAAGGGAAATTGACGCATGGGAACCTCTTACATCCAAAAATTCAAAGCAGTCTAGAAATATGCAGCTGAACGACAAAATCTGGCAATAATTGACGAGAGACTTCCAGCCCTGCCCATCCCTAGAATGTTTGCCCTATGTATTTTACATAAAGCCGAGGTCTAACGCACACCTCAGGCTGTTGCTTGACGTTTTCGCCAACCGATGGTGTCAAAAGGCGCCCAACGCGGCGTGCTATATTGGCCACGTTTTTAGAGAGGATGCGTCTAAAATATACCAGGACGAGAAGTCCTCCAACTTGTCCAAGGCCGCGCCGACCTTGTCACAGCCGCATGGCTTCCATAAGTGATGGGTCGGGACCTTGCGAACGTCACCTGTGATCGAAAATGGATACTGCGATAACAAGCAGGGAGGGTGGAGTGACGGCATAGGGGGGGGGGGGGAGGGGGGCGGGCGACACTGCTCTCCCAGGTGCTCTGTTAAGGACGAGTCCAAAGCCAGACTCTCAGAAACTGTTTCAAATAAATGTGAGCGAAGATTACGGGTCATCAAAGAAGATAGCGATCAATCCCGGCATATGGAAGGTAGCACCAATAATCGACATGTGCTACACTGCATTTTCACAACGGTAGGAAGGGCTACCGGGATTCAAAACGGATTTTGTGCACATTTATTGGCATCAATCTATAAATAGCAAATACCGCCCGCAGGCGGCGCCGGTGCTATTTGAAATGGGAACCGGTGCCGGTGGTATTTAAACTGGTAACCGGAGCTGGTGCTATTTGCCAGTGCTATTCAAACTGGGAACAAAATTTCCCGCCAGAGGCCGGCCCAGCCCAGTCCAATCGTATGAGTTCTAGCTCATGTATTCGCAATGACTAATTGCAGCCCCATCAAGTCTTCAACAAAAAGGATGGAAATTTTTCAGACTTGCACTGGATCATTTTGTGAGCTTTCGCTTGTAAGCTGGCCGACCAAGCATGGCTGTCCTGCAACATTGCGATGTGGTCACACTGTAGCCTACCCCATATGATAAACATAGAAAACTAACAAGACATTGTAACAACAACAACAATGAAATAGTTAAAGAAATGGATGGAAATCAGCTGCGGATTCAGCGCATGAGGACAATCAGTGTTGCAGCGACACCAGACCAAGTAGCCCGGAAGAAGCAGAGGACGGGCGCACGTAATGAGCATACTGTGGGTCGTGCGCCACTGGTCACGCGCGTCCCTGTCCAGGGCATGAGCCCCCGTTGTGAAACTTTGTTTAGGGTTAATGTCAACTTTCGGTAAACAGCGCAAATAAAGACTGGAAACCATCTTCACGGATGTGTTCTTGCAGCGTGTAATAATCACAGAGCGACATGAACAGTGCCTGATAATTAGATACACCACCATTCGACCGAGAAGCGGCCAAAGTCACCTTTCACAATCACGGGCTCAAGTACATCATGATGTACTATGTCACCATGCCATGATGACCGCTTTGTCTTGATATCATGTTATGTATTTATCCACATCATGACGTACATAATGTTGGTTTAGGCCAAAGCATCCATAGTTTAGCCTAAACTGGAAAGATTAGGCCGTCAAAAATGTTTTAGCAAATAACCGAGCTGACTGAAACCATCGCCCATCCAAAACATTTTAGTTTTTTGTTACAGTTTCATGACCTTCACAGACAGCATAAGCCCTTCCATGGACGCAGACTTCGATGGTTAGATTGTCAGGCCAAACGAGACCCAAAGCTAGCCGGCTTTTGAAACATACGGCTTGTAATTACCTTATGTAAACAAGCGCCTATCATCGGTATACCACCTTCTCCCAAATTCGTGCAAGTGGCATATTCTAATGGAGTGATAAGACGGGCTACCAAAAGTCATTTACATGGGCCACCAAAAGTCACTGCCTTTCCTCTCCCAAATTTTGATTGTCTACATAAATAACGCACTCCTCTTGTTATC